ATACCATGCCTTGTGCCAGCGACCAATTCTTGCATGGACCACACCTTTGTGGAAAGTGCCCCTTCCTCTGAAGATCAAGATCTTCGTGTGACAGCTTTTGCGGGATCGCCTCCCATTGGGGACGGAGGTGATCAAGCAGAATGGGCTTGGCGATGGATTATGTCCTCTTTGTGGTGTCCCTAGACTGGGACCCACATCTCCTTCACCTGGTTCGCTGCTTGATTCTTTTGGTGCTTTGTTCGTGAGGTTCTGGGGCCTAACTGAGATGCCCTGACCTGGCAGGGTTTCTTGAAAACACACGCCAACCAGACAGATAGGAGACGCCTCTTTTGGTTAGTGTTCGCAGCAATGACCTGGACCCTCTAGACGATGCGTAACAAGATGGTTATTGAGAGGTTCTTCTTACGGCAGGCCACAGACAATTCAAATTCTTGGCTTTTTGCAGCACTGGCACCCATTCTCTAGGCAGCGGGATCAGGACCGACTTGGCAGCATGATGGACGCAATGACTGGCAGCTCGTCGTCTTGCCCCGACTCATAGCGACTGATCTATCGGCCACTTGGTGGCTTTTTTCCTCTTTTTTTATTACAGCATGTTTGTGTTGTTGCCCCAACAAACTTATTTTTACTTTTCTCACACTTGAGCTTGTTGTATGGACTTGGTGGTTGCTTTATCTATAAAGCAGAGCAAAAAGGCCTGTTTTGATAAATTTAACATGTTTGACTGAGTGCAAATTGTGAGTTCTCCTTGCAACACAAGTGAATAATCATGGGAAGCTTACATTTTGGTAGTTTAGTATTGTGCCATTGTTTATTTTAGATCTACTGCAACACGCTAGAACTAGGTTAGAAACATAAAGAGTTCATCATTAAACAACTATGTAAGATGATAATATGTGCAAGAAACATCTGTTAACTCCTTGCCTCCTTGGTAATGTATATTATGTTCAGAGTGACGCGAGCTATCATACGCTTTCACTCTACAGGCCGGGAAAGAAAAAGATAAACAACTAACCTATCATTGTTTGTAGTAGCTATAGCTCCCACCACTTCTGAAGAAAGAGCATACAGTGAACCAGATGCATGCATGAAGTACTCATTACCTAATAATCCATATGAACTTTCATACCTGTCATGAAATAATAACATAATCACTGAACAAGATAGTTCAAAACCTTCATAGCTGAGATAACAATAGATGCCATGGATACCAGTATGGCTTACATGGAAAACTAATTGATACATGCAAATATGAATTTCGAAGTTAGAACCAATTCAAATTTCCACTAACCATTTCATATTCGGATCACTGACAACCGGTCCCTTCTTCATGCAACCAATATAAGTCCGGTGATGAAGTCGGTCCTTTGCAAGGAGAGCAGCAAGTCTATCTGGCACAGAAATGTGACATAATTACATATAACAGATCTAACAATCTAAACAACAGTTTTGATACATTGTAAATCACAAAATTTACCTGGGCGCAGATAGATAGTATCATCAGCTTTGACGTAAAATTCTGCGTGGAACATGTCATAAGCTGCTTTGAAATATGCTAACCTATCACATGAGCAATCAGTAGGTAAGATTAACAAGATGCAAGTTCACAGGTAGAAATACAAGATTACAGAGTGTACAGGGCTTACATCTTCTCTGGGGGCTTCTTACCCTCATCAGCATCAATAAACAAAAAGTCATGATACATGTCTACCTCTTTCTGAAGATCTGCCATTTTTTCTTTGTCCTTCGTCCTTGCAATGACAAACCTAAAAGATAAACCAAATCCATGTTCCAAACTGCAGGACAGGTGGAGGGCCAGTGAGCATAAAGATGATTCAATGTATTCTTTACTACTGAAGCGTTAAAAGTAGGGGAAAGTAAAGTCTCTGCAACCATGTAACCGATGAATGGACTTAATTAGAGATGACATGTTTCCATCTATAGGTAATAGTTACAGTATGCTCAAACTAAAGTAACTACCATTTTACATAAAAAGATCATATCAGATAAGCTAGAAACATTATTATAGTAAAATTGGTGCTCTCAAAGTGATGAGAACACCCCAGATGAAATGCCTCCATCCAAAATGATGATTGAGGACATCCATAATGACATGCCTCCCAACTCAAGTAGACCAATGACGATGGCATGTGCCAAACAACTCGAGCAACAGGTGAATCTTCTCCTACTTGAGTCTCCCGCTAATCTACATATGAATTGGATGCTACTTGATACATCAACTTTGTCTATCCTTAGGTTTGAGAAGCTAAACACGGACAACAAAGAAGCTGAACAGGGAAGACATGCCCCCAGGCATGTCCTGGGTCTGGGTGTGCAGCAAGGTATCAGAAAAAACAAAACAAATTTTAGCTGCCCAAGTGGCTTTTATAATGGGCCAAACACTTTGCACAATAGCTAGGGCTGAAGTAGAGAGTACAATTAAGAGGAGACAGCCTTTTTTGTAGTCAGACTTGTTTTGGGAAGAAACTAGTTGAGCTTTGCTCTCCTATCCTAGGGTTTTGACCATCCCCTCCACCTTAGTTCTTGCATTTCCTTGTGTTTGTAAGAATCGAAGAGTCTCTTCCGGTGGAAATCGAGATGTCCATCAACTGTTTTGTTGGTTGAGTTCACTGTCAAAGGCTATCACATTGGTGTGTGTTCTTGACATTTGGTTCATCAGGCAAAGCAAGTTATCCTTTCCTAGCGTGAAGATCAGGCCAAATCCGGGGGCCTCCCCCATCACAAAGAAACATGCTGAGCCCTATCAGAACTGGTTACGGCTAATATTCAATTATATGTCCACCAATAGTATACATCCCTTTCTAGTAATACTTGTCAGTCAATACAATTATACAACAATTCAAGTATAGTTTCAAGAGAAGCAAATAGCCACACTTAATGAAAGCACTTTCTAAAATATGGAAGTTCTTTATCATGATAAAACCTCATATTTATCCACAAGCAGATAACAAAGAAGAAACATGGCAAATAAACCCTGCTAACCAAGACGCCAACACAGTTTTACATTTAAAGTGCCGAAAATGAAGTTTGTTAACTTGTGTATTTTACAAATTTGTATCAGGTCACCTTGCTTTTTAATGTTTACATCGCTTGGTCACAAAGCAATCGATTGCATCTGAATTCACTTGATAAGAGGAAAACAATTTGTAGGAACCAGGTCCCCGCTGGCTTTAGAATACAGCAATATGGGATTCAACAGGTTGTCCAAAGTAAAGGACCAGTTAGTGGATAGCTGGGCTGATTATGAATATGAGGCCAAATAATTGGTGCCCCAGCTTTTTCCCTTTCGAGAATCAGTGGCATTTGCAGGTTGGTGACTGCATTTTACTTCAATCGGTGGGTATTTTTTACTCTTCATGTACAATTGTAATAAATTTCAGGGAAGTTCTAATATGTTCCAGTTCATAATGTGTGTGCACATTAAAAAAAAGATATGCTCAGATATGAGGCGTAAATTCAAAATTCCACTTATAGCTTATGAACATTCTGCTACGTAAATCAAATGATGGAACTGCAGATTGGTATTGCATCGGAGTTTTCAAGTCTCACCTCATTTGGTCACATGGAATGTAGGTCAAGTTAGTAATAATTGACAGAAGAAATTTCCCTACAAATATTCTTATGCTATTTTTAATGTGACTAATCTTAAAATACTACTAGTTCTACAAATAATGTGAGCAAGAAAAGGTATATATGCCTAACTGCCAAAGCCAAACTGGGAAAAATGAGCCAGTGCCGATGTGTAAGACGGTAAGACCCATTCCAAGCCGCAGTGCTACCAATCAAACCAGAAAATATAAGATTGCAACAAACCATTCACAAAAATTACATCAATTTACTGATTATTAGTACAGCCATAGTACGGAGTGGGGATAATTGGTGGTTCAAAATTCAAACAGATCTCGCATTAGTCGAAGCTTCGTAGAGCAATGCAGGTGAAAGCAACTATAGGCATCGTCTTATGAGATCCACTTGAAGGTATAAGCTTCTCTAGCAGCAAACTACAGCAAAAAAACATCTAACCAGATCCAGGTAGGATGAATGGAGAATCATATGGAACCTTACGACGCCTTCAGGGTTTGGCGGGAACCAGGTGGCACGGAGCGCAGCACGGCGGGCGGCGGATCCGAGCTCAGTGTGGACGCCAACGACAGCGAGCACCTTTTCTCTGTCGCCGGCTGAGTAGTTCCCGGAGGAGGCGAGGAAGGAGCGTAGGGAGTCCTCGGCGCGGCCACAGCGGAAGGCGACGGAGTCGGGGGGCGACTGGAGTGGCACAGGGCGGCGGCTAACGGACACGGCGAAGGAGAGGGAGGCCACGGCGAGTAGGAGGCAGACGACGGCGAAGAGGAGGAGGAAGCGGTGGGGGGGAGCGGCGGAGGCAGGTGAGGAGGGGAAGCTGGAGGGGACGTATGGGCGCCGCGGCTTGGCCTCGTCGTCGGAGCGGTGGTAGGGGAGGACGTCTTCGTTGTGGTGATGGCGGTGCTTCGGGTGGTGGAGCGGCATTAGGTGGAACTTTGGAGAAGAAGAAGGACCGAGGCTTTTCGGAGGTTGATGAGTTCGTATGATCTGATCTCGGTCTGTATTAAGATCAGTGCAGTGTTCAGCTCAAAAAAGGAAGAGACCAGTGCAATGTTTGCTTTGGGTTCAAGTAATTCTTACCGACAATGAAATTGAGGAGATAATCAGAAATAACGATATATTATACTTCCTCTGTTAATAAATTGTTTAAATCAATAAGGATGCTAGCCAACTTGCCTCCACGGAGCTCCCCCGATTGGGCCCTCGTTCGCCGTCGGATCTGTCTTCCGACAAGTCTGAGCCATTGGATCTTCACAGCAGTCAATCCCGATTTTCACCTGCCGGTCCTTTTCGTTGGCCAATGACGAGTGGGCTCGTCCCTGGCGTTCGTTCGCTGGGTCCGCCATGCCAGCGTGCATGAGATTTTGGTCAATCCTCTCAGTGCGTCCCCGCAGCCAATCCTATCTTTGCCTCGGTCCCACTCCCGCACCAGCAGCCGCACGAACCCTAGCCGCTATTCCCCTCGATCCCCATAGCCTCTCCTGCCTCATGGATCCTCGCCGCCGCCTGCTACTCCTACTCCACCACTGCTGCTGCTTCTCCACCACGCTGCCCTTCCACCTCGCGTTCCTTCTATCCGTTGTATATGTTGCCGTCGGCGGCGCCTGGTTCCAGATCGGGCGCAGGTTAGCAGAGTCCGGTGTTGAGGTGAAGGAGCATGGGAGAGGGGGCGATGAGGACAAGCAACTTTCGGCCGTTGCCATGGCTGAGGCTACAGGAAAGAGGTAGGAAGCCGGAGGGTGAAGGAGCAGGCCGGCCCTCATGGAGACGCCGCCGCCAGCCGTGGGCCATTCGCCGTCACTGGCCTCACGCCTCGTCTCCTCTCTCTTCACCACCACATCCATGTTGTTTTTTGGAGAATGGTGCTCCGATCTGGTCCCTATGGTAATATCTTCCCTTATTCTCCCTCCTTTGATTTCTAATAAACTTACTTTGACGTGTTGTCTTGACATAAATTGTGACGTCTATTGTTATACCATGGCATGTGTAGTGCTAATGGTTTCCTGCTAGGCAACTTCAGGCCTGCAACATTTACAGGGGAGGATTGCAGGTGTCGATACGATGGAGCAATTTCTGGTTTTGTGGTTGGAGCATAGCCTCATTTTCGCAAGAGTTTGGGGTAAGTTCCTGGTGGTCTTATCTCGGATCGGCTCCTTTGCTCGCCTTCTAACCTTCTTTTCCTTTTTCATCACGTTTTGCTCTCTTCCTGTGTGCTGCACATTTCTGCTTTTCTCAATAGGTACAGTTAGTATGAAATAGGAGTAAGACATCCTGGACTCGGCTCTTCGTTATTAGAACTTGATTGCTACTTCTTGCTGATCAGTTACAAAATATTAATTCAAGTAGTTTGTTATGTACAGTTTCTCAAGAACAATGGGATGTTAATCTTCCATGCGCAGCGGCGGTGCATCAAGGTGCAAGGCAGCTGCGACATGTTCATAGTACGCTAAAGGATGAGCTCCTACTTTTGCTGATGCTAGCTCCTTGCTGCAGGTGAGCTACCACCTTCTCCCCCATATGTTAGAGTTGTGGTTCGCAAACTGCATATTTTAGCATATTGTTTCAACCAAACATGATGTGATATTTTAGACTTTTACGATGATGTGAAGCTCATAGGTATCAATAACCAGCAAGCTTATAGATAATTAAGTAACCTGTAGAATGAATTGTGATCTTGATCGGTATTTATGGCCACTGGCCGTTGGTCATATTTGTCACCAAAAAGTGATGTGCTGTGCATATGCATTTGCAACTTTGAGCTTTAAAAAAAGGTTGATATGTGACCCTCCCTTTGCTATTTTGTGAGGTATCCTGATTGGCATATCACAGGTTGCTAGAGTTGTTCAAGCAGGCGTGTGCGTTCTACTTTCGATAAATTTGTTATCTTTATTTGTACTTAGTTTAGTTTGAATCGGTACCATAACAATGCTAGGTTCAGTAACTATTATTATTTTTTTACTTTTTTACGTAACGGCTGAATCGAATGCTCATGTTAGTATGTATTGGTTAACAATGGCAGAGTCATTGTGGTGCCTGTTGGGCCTTTGGTGTTGTGGAGTGTCTGCGAGATCGTTTCTGCATTCCTCATGTCATGGTGAGTGCATATGGACGATCTGTCTACTATCTGGTCTATTTTTAAATAGGCATGTCGGTCTTTTCTTACATAAGCAGCCTGCTGTTTCTATTCCTCACAGAACATTTCAGTTTCTGTCAATTCACATTTATCTCCATGTTATCTTGGTGTAAGGTAGCTTTGATGATGTGTTGAGGCGGTCTGCTCAGTGTAAGAACAAATAGTTGGCCACTCCCATTTTTATCTCATTTCGTAATCATCGCAAGCTATGCCTATGTCAATATCTAAAAGTTTTTGCTATTTGTTTCTCCTCCTTTAATCAATATTTGTAGGATTGTTAGTAAGGTTGCTCATCGTCAAGGAAAGTGCTTTGTGGATACTTGCATGACTAAGGAAGAAATTTGTTATTTGAAGTATGCACTAGAGATATTGCAAGGTATTTCTGTTACCAGACGAAGAAATTTGTTATTTGAAGTATGCATTAGAGATATTGCAAGGTATTTCTGTTACCAGATTCATATCTTTTTTTGGGACCTATGTACAGATGATGATTCGTAGCTGCAGTTATTTTTGTCCTAAAGATACAAGCAAATTGAAGATTAGACTTCTGTATGGAAATTTAAATAGTGGTTCCCTGGAAAGCAATTTAATTTCTTGCATTGATTTCTCTGATATAACCACGCCTTTCCTATTTTGTTAAAGAAGTAAACTAATTCCTAAACTTACACCACCAGTCAGCATAGCATTCAAGCATGCCACTAGGCCAGGGCATTCTAGCAAACCTCGCTCCCACTATAGGTTAGTTCTTAGCTATGCTTGCGACTATTCTAATCGACCGGACAAAAAACTATGGGAGGAATCAAAGGCATGCATCTGACCTCGGGTACATGCACCAATTGAAATAAGAGGTGATAATGTTATCATATAGCTATATTCGATTCATGAGTAACTTAACAACCAACCTGGACGGCAAAAGTTTACTTCACTTGGTAACATGAGGTGGACACCGAAAGCTTGCTATCTAATTTTCTTCTCTGTAGAGGAAAACAAGTATACCGATAGTTGGACACTGAAAGTTTTCTAAAATTATTTTTAGAGTTGTATAGTGTATACATTTATAACGTAGATCCTTACTCATGTTACACCTTTCTTGTTCTTATGGCGAAAACATTAGCATATTAACCATTTCTATATTTTTCTGTTATTTTCTTTTAATACAGTAGTGTCCATGCTTATAGATTTCTATTTAGTGTCAATCTAGCATACTCATGTCACTCCCGTCCCATTTTAGCTCTGTTGATGGATGATTTCTGCCATTTATTTTTATTCCCATTTTATATATTCTGATTATTGCTTCATTATTTATCAACTGATGAGGCATGACTTTTGTGTGCACTTCTTACTGATGATGATCCTGATGTTATTTGTTTGAGAAAAGACTGAGACGGCTTGAAGTGCATATTTATCCTTATTTTGTTCAATTATAATGGGATGAAGTAACTTAATTGACCGATAGTGTTGTTAGTAGTGATAGACAATAGGCAATTTACTAGAGCAGTTCTGTGGGTATTAGGCATAGTCTTCTCTGTCTCTAAAACCAGCTTCGCATGCAAGATCTTATCCTATGCCAAGTTATTCTGTGGGTATATTTTTGAAATATTTATCTTTGTTGTTCCGCTTAGCTACACCCTCCTTAAGTATTTTTTTTACAGAATCTAGAAAAACAAAGTGCTTTGCTTCTTTCCTTGCCTGGTTCAAGGTTCCGAGACCACATGCAGTGTGCGTTGGACAATGTTGCTGAGGGTCCAGTTTCTCATTTTTTAGATTTTGTAGTAGCAGATATGTGTATAATATAGATAACTAAACTGGTGTTTAGGCGTTTTAGTGCAGGACTGCTACTTGCTCGATTAGTTAGATGAACTGGTGTTTAGAGATTTTAGTATGGAGTGATGTTTTGGTCTTGATTGTAGGGCTTCGAGATGCACCATGAGGGCTGAAACGAGGCTTATACCAGGCTACAAAATTATCATGCTTTTGGGATTTTCCTGAATTTAGTTAGCATAAATACGTCCAGAATCTCTCATGCAATATGTAAGTCTGTCGGTAACAACACTGATTTTTCGAGTTTGTTCTGCCAAACAAAGTGTGGAACATACTTCATTTTTGCAGTTAAAAGAAGGAAAAGAGAACATTGGGGGAAAAGGCAGCTGAGCGGATTCTCTAAGCTTTCTCAAATGTTTGAAGGAAAAGATAGTTACAATCATTATTCTCTCGCCTTACTACATCTTGATGTTAATAGGCTTTGGAAGGTACTATGCACCCGTTCAAGGTTTATAGAATTTGTACCATCCTATTAAAGTTTATTCTGATGAAAGAATTGACCGGTTCTTCCTTGTGTAAATTAATATTGCAGCTGCTACTCCTTTGTGCATTGGTACATAGTTATAGTTTTGAAGGTGTGTACGCATCAACATATACTTCCCACCATCCTATTATAGTTTGTTCTGATGACAAAATTGAGCACCCCTTACTTGAGTAAATTGTGCAACTCTTCCTTGAGTAAATTAGTATTGCAGTTACTGAGCCTTTGTGCATTACGATACAGTTCTACTGAAGCTAGTATTGTACTACTTATGCCCATTTTAAACCCAGACCTGATTTTACATCATTTTTGTCCTCATCCGTTCTCCTTAATTTTAGTCCATTTCAGCAATGCTATGATCTGCCACTCTATATGAAAAACGACTGAAATTTCGCTTTTGTGATTTAGTCAATCATCTGTGTTTTGATTCCTATTGATCTCTCCTTTGGCAACTGATGCCACCCGGAGGGCTGCCAGCCCAAGGTAAGATCGGTACTATCCTTCAATAAAAAAACAGTGCATGCAGAGAAATCCGAAATCCGAAATAGTAGGAAAGGAGAAATCTCACCAGTTGAGTACGTGTCTTTGGAAATGCTTCTCTTGCTTAAATGAGGAACCGAGGAAGAAAAGGGGATAAACAAGCACGATAGATGTAGTCCCCACCGCTTCATATTCTACTCCAGACGAGCCACACACACAGAATTGTCCGTGGACTCAGCTAGGTAGCATATGGGCCTTTCAAATACCTATGCCTCCATATGCACAACACGGAGATGGTTCTTTTGCGTGCACATGGAAAATAAAAGTTCAGTACAATCACAACTAAAAAAATACGTCCTTAATTGGTCTATACATTTTATCCAAACATGTCCTTATTTTTTCAAGCTCGGATTTCTCATGATGATAACCATATTTTCAACTAAAAAAATGATTCCTTAACTGTTGTATACATATTATACAAGTATGATTTTTTTCAAACTCAAATTTCTCAACATGATAAACATATTTTCAATATAGCATAATTTAATACATGGGTTTTCTATTACCAATATCGAATATGTCCTTGCAAAATGAAACTATTTTCATCGACAACATGGCTTTAGCGGGTCTCTGCGTCATTTGGCGCAACGGGTCAACTAATTGTCATAAAGAATATGAAGTATCTGTCTTTCTGGGCTCCTCGCAGGTAAAGAGCATTTCGAGACGTCTGTCCCGAGGTGGCGTGCCGCGGGGGCCTCTCGGGGATGCTTCGAGCCATCAGACCCTGCTGGGCGGTCGGGGGGACCGCAGGGCGCGCCTAGGACCACCGTCATTGGACGGCCTTCGTCGCACAACTACCCGCTCGCAAAGGCATAGCCAGGCTCGCCTGTCAGCATCCACCATCAGCGATCCGGGCTGGTCCAATCATGACAGGCAGGGTGTGCGTCACGCCCGCCTGCATCGGCTCACTGTGAGGGTCTCTCCGGGCGCTTCGAGTCCTCCGATCTGCCCAGACGGTGTGGACCCAGACAATCCGG